AGGGAGAGGGAGAAGCAGGCTCCCTGCTGAGCAAGAAGCCCAATGAGGGGCTCGATCCCAGGACCCTGGGATCATGACCTGAGCTGAAGGCAGATGCTTAACTGACTGAGCCACCCAGGCGCCCCTCTCCTTTAGTTTTTCGGATTCTGTTTCCTCAAAGTGTTATATGGCAAACACTGATTGAAAATTTTGGATGAATTAGAATTAATTCTGCTTTTCAGTACTTTTGAGAGTACATCCAAATTAGGGTGGGAAATCATTATGCCAAGTACAATAATATTAATCTAACAATTACAACCTTTTATACACAGTAGTATCACTGTTACTTATATGTATTTCTGTTTAGTCAGACTTTCATAGTCACAAAAGGAGTTTGTTTTTCTTTAGGTTACTTGTGAGTTTGCTTATTAAATCAGGAGTCTAGAAACTTTTGCTGTTGCTCTTGGTGTCACAAAGAAAAATCAGAACTACAAACCCTATTAAACTATGATTTTCATTGCTAAATCACTCAACTTATACTTAATGTGAACTGGCATTATTCTGTAGTCATGAGATACTTTATTTTTATGGTCTAGAGTAGTTGGAAATTGAATGAGATAATGCAAATTGTGAGAGATATTATATGGAATAAGCTTGTGGTTCCAATTTAGTTCACAGACAACAGGTGTCCACATTACAAATATAACCACCCAGATGGCAGACTTGTCATTTTTGTAGGAACACCCAGAATTGAAAGAGGAAAGACTCAGCTACTGATTACATTTTCTTTCAGATTAAAACTAAGACATAGGAGAACAAGAAAGACAGGAAGCAACTGCAGTAGCAGAGCCTTTATCTTAGCTGACTCTTTGTTACTGTCACTCTCTAAAGAGTTCACATATAATGGAAAAGGAGGTGTGTACAATTATTACAACTGATAAAATAAAATGATTTCTTCCAGCTTCCAAAACTGTCAAGTTGGCCTTTTGAGTTGCCATGAAAATGGTCTCTCAAACTGGAAACAAAAGAAATACTAATGATCTTTTTTCTTAAGACAACCTCAGTATTAATTAATTTCAAAAACAAAACATCAGAAAATGTAATACCATGCTATAAAAACATACTCTGAGGTATGTTTATAATTTCTACTTTTAAAATAGCATGTTTTGGAAAAGAATAAACTCAAAACAGATACCAAATTGGTTCTTAAAAGACGATCTATAGAGGAATTTTTATGATTTGTCATACAAGAAACAGGACACAATGTATATTTTACTAGGCAAAGAAGCTACCCTGGATTATTTTGCTGTTTAAACAAAAATAATCTATAATTTCTTTAAAAACAAGTATTATCTACAGGAGAAAGAAAACAGCAGGTCTATGACTATAAGGCATATTTGCTGCCATAGCAACAGAGCTTCTATTCCTGCCCACTGAATTCACATCCTGCTGGCATTAATGAGAAATGTCCATTTGTGCCAAATTAATGCCATGTCACAGACGCTCAGGGATATACATTCTTGACAGAACTGGGAGCTTTCCACATTCTACCGGGGGATAAATTCAGTCTTCACTATGTAAAGTTCTTACTCTAGCTTAAAAGCTAAAGTCAGTGTTGAGTCCCACTAACCCGTGCTAACAGCAGTTGCCTCTAAAAACACAGACTATGTGAAGATAACACCGCCAGCCCCATCCAGGGCCACACTCCATGTACTCACCAGCTCTGCCTGGAGGATTCTCACACATTTCACAGTAAGGTAACACTGAGTTATTGATATAGGTGCAGAAAGCACACTGCCAGCCCTTTCCAGGAAGGACTGGGCTGGTTGCCTGGGCTAGAGCCGTGGTCTGCCTGGGCCGGGATGGTTTCTCCTCTGGGGCACTGCAGTGGTCCTTGGTGGTGACCGACTTCAATCTTTTAGCTTCAGGTTCAACATTGCTTTCATAATCAATGATATGTCTTGTGGCTCTTTTTCCAGGGTCTGCTGGCACGACAGTATTTTTCTCTTGGAATATCCCTGATTCATCACAGGAGGTCACCAACTGTCTTTTCTTAGGTTTCGGTAAAAAGAATGATCGAATATCATGCTGTTTTTCTTTTTCAAACTAGGAAAAACAGTTATCAAATTAAGAAGCAATCTAATATGTTCTTCCTAAATGAAACAGATTAACCAACTATTTTCAGTAACCATATTCCTTTATCTTTTGAATACCTTGTTGGAAATGAATTCAGTTATGCTATGACTCTTCATATAAACATATATGCAGAATATCATTAACACATCTATATACTTCCTGTGTCTAACTTTTTTTTTTAGCACTTACAGTGTGCCAAGCACTTTACATATATTAACTCATTTAACCCTCATGCCAGTTCTGTAAGACAGGTACTAGTATTCTTCCTATATTTTAGATGAGGACACTAATGCTTTAGAGATGTTAAGTAATGTGGCTACAGAATTTATGTAATAAAATTATACTTCATCAACTATCTGCTCTAGAGGTATATCAGGGAAAGGAGAATTGTGTATTTAAATATTTCAAGTCAACCAAGAACCTACAAAAATGTTTCCATGCCCAAACTATAAATACAGTATTCATAAACAATGTTTTTCATATTACAATGTTTTCTTGACTAGGGAGCATTTTTTCAAATAGCATTAAAGCTATTAATTAGAACTGCTTCTTTAACAGACACATCTTAACAATTATCTTGCTTTCAAGAAATTTATTTCCCTTTTCTAAGAAAATCTCCATCATTATCTCATGTTTTTTGTCTTCTTTTCAATGTATAAATCTCAACCTCCTTATTAGAGAAAGTGGAATACATAACTCCACAAGTGATTAGCTTGTAGAAGGAAGACAGAGGAGTCAATTTTAGAGAATTCCTGTTAGGGGTACCATAGTGGATACACACTGCATTTCCAAAGATGGTCACACCAGTTCTTATCTTATTTGACATGCTTTTCTCATAATACGACACAACACGCCTACATTTGGAGGTGGGGTCTGTGTTCCTCTCCCTTGAACCTGGGTGAATCTTTGTAACTGTCTCAATCAATAGAATGCAGTGAAAATGACACTGTGTGACTTGTGAAGCTAGGTCATTGAAGATTATATGGCTTCCACTTGGTTGCTGGCATTCTGAATCTCTCTTTATGTCTTGGGTTGCTTGTCTTTGGAGCCTTGCCACCATGTTGTGGGGAGGCCCAGGTCACAGGGAGAAGCCATGTGTGGATGTCTGAGTTGACAACTCCAGGTAGGCCCCTAGGTTACAGACAGCATCAACTGCCAGACATGTGAGTGAATGAGCCTTGAGATGTTTCCAGATCTCAGACATGGGGTCTTCCATCAAAGTCCCCATTCACTGTGGAGCAAAGACACATCATCTCCATTACACCGATTGAATTCCTCACCCCTAGAAACCGTAAGAAATAATATATGACTATTGTTGTCTGAAGACACTAAATTTGGGGGTAATTTGTTATGCAGCAATAGATAACAATGACAGACACTATGGATAATGATAGCAAAATACTATATATTGTAAAGAAATATTTTACATAATACATCTACCTGCACTTCTTAGCAGTGGTGCATAAGAAAGCAAGATATAGCAAATCCACAGAGACAGAACAATTAGTGGTTAACAGGGGCTGAGGGAAAGGGAGATGGGGAGTTATTGCTAAATGGTCACAGAGTCTGTCTGAGGTGAGGAAAAAGTTTTGAAAATAGTGGTGACAATTGTACAACACTGTGAATGTGATATTAAGGGGCATTACCACTGAATTGTACACTTAAAAATGGTGAAAATGGCAAGCTTTATGATTATGTATTTACAAATATAAAAAGGAAGGGAAAAAAGCAGGAAGATTTAGGCTCTTCCCATATTGGTAAAATTAAAACATATAAGAAAAAAAATCACGTGGCCCCCCCCCAAATGTACAGCTTCTATTTTCTATGGCTGTTATTTACACAACCTCATGTACTATAAAAAGTTATCTGATTAGTTATGGAAGTTACAGAATTTAGATAAAAATATAAAGAAGGAAATTATTAACTATGAGACAAGATTTTTAAAACAAGGCACAAGGGAAATACAAGAAAAGGGTGAAGAGGGGCGCCTGGGTGGCTCAGATGGTTAAGCGTCTGCCTTTGGCTCAGGTCATGATCCCTGGGTCCTGGGATCGAGTCCCCATACCGGGCTCCCTGCTAGGCGGGGAGCCTGCTTCTCCCTCTGCCTCTGCCTCTCTCTCTCTCTCTCTCTGACTCTCATGAATAAATAAATAAAACATTTAAAAAAAAAAAGGGTGAAGAAAAGCAGAAAGATTAGCAGACTAACAGAGTTTGGTGTTTAAAAAGGTAACAAAGCAAAAAAGATAGTTAAACATTTAAAGAAAATGTTCTATTCCATATAATAGGACGGCCAAGAGGGCTTTCAGGATTTTGAAAATACTAGCAAATGTTCAGCAAACATGAACAAATTCCATCAGATATTTCTAGTTAAAGCAAGACCTTCCGAGTCCTTCCATGTCTGGAAATGAACTGATTTTGTTTCTAACCCTTAGTCAGTAGTTTCATGGGGCATATAATTCTTTTCAAGTCTTTACAAACATTGCTCTGCTTCTTCCAACACCTGATGATGCTGATGATGTTCCTTCATAGGTTGCACTTTTCCTTTGTTTTAGAGGCTTTCAAGACCTTCTCTTTATCCCTGGTGCTCTGAAATTTCACAATAATCTGTATTTCTATATCTGTATCATTTATATCTATGCCTTATGCTCAGCACCCAGGATACCTTAATTTTGAATGGTACTCAGTAGCTTTAGCTCCTGGAAATTTCCATTATTCTTTGATAGCTTCTTCCCCTTTATTTTCTTTTTTTCTGGAATTACTGTTAGCAGAACGATGGAACTAGACATAATGTCTTACCTTTTATTGTCATATTTTCCTTTTTTTTGTCTTTTTACCCTCTAAATTCTTAGTTTTTCTCTCATTTATCTTGCAACCCTACAGAATTTTATTTTGACAGCTGTATTTTTTTTAAAGATTTTATTTATTTATTTGAGAGAGAGAGAGAGCACAAAGGGAGAGTGAGAGGGAGAAGCAGACTCCCCGCTGAGCAGGGAGCCCGATTTGGGGCTTGCTCCCAGGACCCTGGGATCATGACCTGAGTTGAAGGCAGACGCTTAACCAACTGAGCCACCCAGGCGCCCCTTGACAGCCATATTTTTAACATCTAAAAGTTCCTTTTGTTTCCTGTTCCTTTTTCATAGTAGTCTGATTTTATTTATATTTGCAATATCATCTTAAATGTGAGGCTACTAATTTGAGTTTTTAAAATGTTATCTTTAGGGTTAATTTTTCTATCAGCTTATTTTTGCTCCCCTTTTTCATGCTACAGATTTCCGCCCCAAATAGCCAATGACCTTGCTTGTCCCTGCATACATGTCAGTGAAAGAACAGAAGGGTTGCCTGGGAAGGTGGTACACATGGGGCTTATCACCATGAAGTTCTAAAAGAACATATTGGGTGTTATACGCAACTAATGAATCATTGAACACTACATCAAAAACTAAAGATGTACTACATGTTGGCTAATTGAACTTAATAAAAAATAAAAACATAGGGGCACCTGGGTGGTTCAGTCGGTTAAGCGTCTGCCTTCGGCTCAGGTCATGATCCCAGGGTCCTGGGATTGAGCCCCACATCAGGCTCCCTGCTCAGCGGAGAGCCTGATTGTCCCTCTCCCTCTCCCTGCCGCTCTGCCTACTTGTGCTCTCTCACAATCTGTCAAATAAATAAATAAAACCTTTAAAAATAAGTAAATAAAAACATAAAAAATAAAAGGACATAATGATTCACTGCAAGGGGTGAGGTAGATGGAGGGGCCCAGAGTGATCTCAAACTCCTACATTTCTGACTTGTAACACTGTAGGAATGATGTTTTCCTGTAATAGGGAATATAGGAAAATAACTGGGCTCCTAAAAAGACAAAAAGAGGATAAGGAAATAAGTTCACTTTTAGACATGTGTGAAGACTGATGGGTACCAGGATGGAGAGTTCCAGGAAGCAGATCTGGAGTTCAAGAGAAAGAAACAACTAGATTCACACATCTGGGAACCACTAACAGAGAGAGGTGGTTAAAGGTATAGGACTTGATGTCATGATACATGGAGGGAGAGGGTAGTGAGAAAAGGTCAAAGTCAAGGACAGAAAGTACAGAAAGTACAGAAACAGCATTAAGGGTGGAATGACGAAGAGATATTAAGCAAAGAGACATATAAGCAATAGTAAGAAAGGTAGAAAAATCAGGAGAGTGGTAGCTTTATTGGATATGTGTGCGTGTGTTTTCGTTTTCCACTCATACTAGGTGCTCACTGGGCACTTTAAAACAGAAAAACCCATGTCCTTCAGTTCTGGGAAATTTTCATATATTATGTTTTCTTCCTCTGTTTTCTCTGTCTTCTCCTTCTGGAGTTCCTATTAGGCAAAAAGCTTCTGGATTGATCATTTGATTTTCTTCAACTTTTCTCACACTTGCCGATCGCTATTTGTTCTTCTTTCTTTGTGAGTTCATTACTTCTGTCCCATCCTTGTTGAATTACTATTGTCTGATATGACAGGTCCAATTCCTACGAGCTTCACTTGTCTGATTTCCTCTCCTTGTTCTGGTTTCATGGGCACAGTATTTTCTTTCACTTCTCTATGGACATTAGTAATAGTTTTGGTGTTTCCTTTTAACGTCTTCTCCATGGTCTCTGGCTTCTTCTGATCCCTTTCTTGGCTTACATGCTTGTTTTGGTCTCTGCTTTTCCAGTGAAAGGATTTCCTCCAGGCTTCACAGCCTTTACTGTCCATTCATATTTAAGAATGAGACTTAATAAGCATTAAGAATAAAATGCAATGGCAAGTTTCATGTGGGGGACTTCACTGAGGTGACCAGTGACTGTCAGAGAAACCCTGTCAGTCTCCATAGTCTTTTCGTGGTCCGGTCTGGTTTTCCAGAAAGGAGTCCTTCAGTCTCCTTCCTGAAGGGTACAATGCTGGCTATCAGTAATCCGGGAGCTGATTAGGAGAAGGGTGCTAAGGATTCTATCATTAA